TATCGCAATCTCCATTAAATGAAAGGATTAATTTAATAAAATTGAACTTGGTCACACGATAGAGGTTAATTGCCTATTAATTCGTGTTTGTTCAATAGCTATTGAAATTAGGTTTAGCCGTTATGACCATATGTTTGTAGAGTTGGTAGAGTACAGCTGCTAACTAATGTATTCGATAAAACGAGACGCTCTATTCGCTCTTTTGGTTAGAATTAAACCAAATTGTGATTGTGGTAATCGTAGTTAATGTGTTATCACGCCTGTTTTTAGTAAGAAAAAAGTTTACAAGTGCTGTGTCTTGCGACCAGCTTCGATAGCTTAGGATCGATTAGGACTTGGTTTATTAGATGATTTTCGGAGACAGTTTACAACGGCAATTATCGAGCTATTTTCGAGAAATTTACAGGTTTCTCCTGCCAGTATTAGTTTTCTAAGAATTGCCGTGAAAGGCCAGGGAACCTCGTTAGCCCAGATTATTCCTAATTTATACGGAATTAGAATTAAAAGCGACTGTTCTGAAAATTTCTTAAATACACACTTCTCAAAGTGAGACATTAGAACTGTTTGCACGAATAATTCGCTGTTCAACCTATTAGAAATCAAATCATTTCGTTTCGAATTGCCTTTAGTAAAAATTTTCAAATATTGTTCTCATCACTGTGTCCCTACAAAAAAAATGCTCAATGGGTTGAGATATCTTCCCTTCTATTAAGCATCGCTTCTAAATTTGAAGTTTCGAACTTTCGAGACTTTTAGCTTCCAAATTCAAATCTCGAAATCTCGGAAATTCGTCCAAATGCTTTTTTTTTTCTTGAGAATTTTCTTTTTGCCGCATGATAATACAGCGTGCAAACAAATACACCTCGAGTAATCAGGGTACCCCTTCAGCGGAGAAATCAGAGTACAATCACCGTGGCTCGACCACATCGCGTGTTCGCATCGTGTCCGATAGGCTCGTGCGCTCGCCTTTATCCAGCATAATATCCCGTTCTCGCCGAGCGATTCGCGGATCCGCTTCAAAAGGCGCCGAATTATTTGAGATTGGCGTGCCGTTTCACGCGGCGCGGGCCCATCGAGAGATCACGCTCGGACCGCCGCGTTGTTGACCTAATTCAACGCGGACAATCACGAGCCGCACAATCGGCTACTTAATGAACTTTTAAAAGCCGTCTATTACGTACCACTGTAATCAGCCATCGGCCTCGTACGCTTAACGCTTTTTCGATTCGGCCGAGGTGGTAATTACGTCATCGATAACGATTATGTGTAACTCCGTTCCGGTAACGTTGCGAGGCTGAAAGCTGTTCCCTCCTCGCCGTTCTCGAGGTCGCACCGTGAATCGAAAACTTTTTAACAGACGAGAGGTCTCGCGAGACAAAAAGAAAGGGAAGAAAGAGAGAGAGAGAGAGAGAGAGAGAGAGGGAGGGAAGAATGAGAAGAAAAAGAATAAAAAGAGCTCGTTTCGCTTACCTGCCCTCGCGCTTTTTATTCCACGCCGTTTAATTTTCTGCCGCTCTTGATCGAGCTTCCTTCTCGTGAAAACGACCCTCATCGATTAATTAAAAGGTTAACGATTTGGCGCAGACGAGACGAGACAATTTTGAAATAATTCCATGATTACTCGGGGCCCCGATTTTTAACTCTGCAACACCTGCCGCTGACCTGTTATTTCTTCAGAGGAATTTTATCTCTGCTGCGCGCGTACACTTCCGCGCGAAAGTTCTTAGAACAGTTTTTATTTCGAACTTCATAGTTGAGCATTGCAACAATTTGGTGGGATTTAGTTTGCATAATTCTGAAATTTTTCGTTCAATTTTATTATTATTCTCTATTTATATATCACTGCAGTTGCATCTATAGTGACATTATTTAGGAGTTAATATTCAATATTTATCATCGATAATAAAATTTTCATGCGTTCGTTGATGTATAAACTAACGCGAAATGTATATATCTAATAAATTCTTCTTTTCATCGGTGTCTTCAACTCTATTTGTTTTTCGCTTTAGCAGCAGCTATGACACCTTGAGATATCGTTGAAAGAGCAAGTCGTTACGAAGCGAGGTTCTCCGTTTCTCCTTTTATCCTTCATGGTTATTCACATGGGATTACGTTATGAAAGATCAATGCAACTTGTAAGTTCTTTGATGCCTCGCCGTGCTCGTTTCATGGCTGACAATCGATCCACGATGCAAGCAACGCAATTGTTGAGTTTGTCGAACAGACCTATTCCTCTTTCTAATGACTCCAATCGTTCATCTCTTCTTACTCTTGGTAAATTCTAATCTTATAAAACTTCCATGGTAACAAGTTCCATTATTCGAAATTCAGAAGGTCCACGTACTTTTTTTTTAGTGTACACACAGTCTAAATTCTAAGTTAAAATAAAAAGGATAGATTCCAGAACGAGATCTCCAATTGCAACGTCTAACTCAGTTTCATCTGTCGGAAATAAGCAAACTTTTCGCTACTTTCCTGATCGTTACCCCCTCCACTGCATTGATCTCTCCACTATATTGAAATTGAGAGAGTGGAGCTCCTGCGAGGAAATTTCAATGTAGTGGGGAGATCGATGCAGTGGAGGGGGTAGCATTAGCGTTGAGGAAAGTAAGGACAAGGGCTCGCGGGCCGCCAGTTAGCCGGCTTTGCTAAATTACAACAAAAAATGAAAAAAATGAAAAATCCGAAAATAAGATCCCGAGTCGCAGCATCTAATTATCCGAAGCATATCGTTTAAAAAAATTCAGTTTCATCGCTCCGTCTTTCAATCGTTAAATGCGAAACTTTCCGCGACATACGCCAGCCATTGATAAGTGTCCGAGATTTTACGATGCGGCTCGTACCTTTCCACGTCGTGCGTTTCATTAACGCGAAAACCCAGGTTTCGCGCCAGTTAATAAAAAAACAGACGTTGAACGGCAGAAAGCATCGTCGGACAGAGATATCGCGAGGCCGTGTTATCGCGTTTTACGGCCGCGTAAATTACGGCTCGCAGGTTCTCGCGCGAGAAGAAAAAGACACTTGGCTGGTTCTCGCGAACACGCGGATTTCTGGGCTCATGACAATATCCAACTGACCGTTCCGCGAGATAAATCACTCGGATTACGTGTGTACTTCGACGTGTTCACTTTCGATGGCTGCGCGAATTGGAGCATAGCGCGGTCATCCTTCGTCGATCCGCGTGGTTCCGCCGCGAATTTTGCACGATCGGACTCGACAATAGTGTCAACAAAAAATGCCTGGCAAAAAGACCTACGTAATGACTCTAGCGTGATGTTTGATGAAAATTGTTAGTGAATTTTTATTTGTAAAGAGACGATCTGAATATATGAATGAACGAATGTAAACGAAGAGTATACAGTATATATTCAAAAAAGCAAAAATATTTTACAAAAGCGAAAATGCTCACAATGCATATGATATGTGCAAAGATATATAAATTATTCAAATTGTAATAATATGTGAATAAATAAAAAATGTTGCACAATATGCAATGCGCAATATATAAATTATTTACGATAAATGCATGCAATGTAAACGATTATAATAAACATACATTAATATATTGTATTATTATATTATTATTACATATTATTACATATATGTGTTTTGCATCATATCATATTACAAAACATGTATATATGATAATCTACGACAAGTATTAAAAATAAAAGTGTCCAAAGACTTTCGAGCGAGAGTGTACATATACTCCAGATCTTCTCACGTAACGTGACCCCATAACTCGACCGCGTAACAAGCCCGACCTCTATCGAATACACATACGTCGCGTCTCTAAATCTTCGATCCAGGATAGTCCGTAAGTATTTACGTGCAGCATCTCGAGGCTCCCATAACGGCGTTAGATCTCGTCATCCTCGTCCGACAGGATCACGAAGTTCGCATTCTAGTAGACGTAATCGCGTGATCTATCGTTCGGAAGGCACTCGAGAGCTTGTCCGGATGCAACGAGTTCTCGATAGTTGCGATACTTCTCGAAACCGAGCAATTGGGAATGAGATCGGTTGAGAGGAAAAAAAGAGAGAGAGAGAGAGAGA